AAAAGAAGTAACTGAAATATCACATTGACATAAGTTATTCAGACCCTATGATATGACACATACAACACAGCCATTTAGCTCAGGTGCCTCCCATTTCTCTTGATCATTTTTGAGATGTTTTTACGCCTTGTCTGGAGTCTACCTGTGGTAAATTCAAATGATTGGACATGATTTGGAAAGGCACACACCTGTCTCTGTAAGATCTGCAACAAAGCTAAATGTGGAAAAAAAATTAAGGGGTCTGAAGACTTTATGAATGCACTGTGTGTTGCTATGCTAGCCAATGGTCCGTACCTGCTTCACAATTTAACTATGGCTAACCCTTATGGTATCAACTTGTTGTGTGTTCTTTTTTTCCCTTTCCTATAAATAATGTCTACATTATTAACACCTGAGAGAATATATAAGTAGCCTTAAACTGATCAAACCAATGACAGTTCTTGTGCTCTTGTGGTATATTTGGCATTTATTTGTGGCTCTTGTGGTCATGATGCAGTTACATTTTTTAAGGATTCAAACATAGCCTACACATTTAGCCTCCTAGCCAATAACCAAAGTCAACAGGCCCCTGGGCACTGGATGCCAGCAGTGGGTTAAGGGGAATTGATGCATCAAAAAAGTTGAGTTATCATAGTGTTCTGCAAAAAAACATTTGCATTACTTGTTCCTCTTAATTGTAGGAAACAGGATGCACTGCTTTTCAGTTGGCCCCATACACATAACAATCACAACTACTGTATATGCCAGTATGTCAAATTGGCAGCCTTGGAGGAAGAAGAATCACTCTACCCTTAAAATAATGAATTCCCCTGTAAGTGGAAAAATGTGTAATTGTCTTACTCACAGATCTTGGAACGGAGTTGGGAATTCCCAACAATAATGCAATCAGCAAAACATTTGGTCAAACTTTGAAAAAGCAAAAGACAACAGGATTTCATTCTCACTATTTTAAGATTCATAATATCTAACAAGCAAAGCAAGAACAAAAAAAAATTTCTCCCATGTACTTGTCAAACAATCATTGAGAAATAGAGCTTCTATTCTGTCAAATGGCCATAAGGATCTGCAAATATGTGCTGAATAGAGCATTTTCTATGACATGACAGCTCCTTGTGTATTCTGTATTCTGCACACAGGCAAGGATTTTTTAACTCCTCAAGCACAGCAGTTCATATTGTAATTAACTAATAGTCACACAAAATATATAAAGCTACTTTCCCCCCTGCTGACAGAAAACAGACCATTGATGGCAGCTTGATATGCACTTATCTACATCCCCATCTTACACATAATCACTCACTTTACAAGTCTAGTAAAGAAAAAAAAAAAAAAACTCCTTACGCAGGTCCTTTTGCCCTTGCCCTCCATTTCCACTGCCAATATCATTAGCGAATGGCTTTCTGACTCCAATGCTATTACACACCAAGAACCCAGGTAATTCGGGAACCTCATCAGAAAATGAAGGACCGATTAGAAAAGCAGATGGAGCTCTTTGATGTGAGCCAACTAGGTTGTGTCCAAAACAAGGGAAATGAAGCCTTGCAGAAAACGTTTGTCATATTCTGATAAGCTGCAAAAAATATTAAGGAACAACAGGGCTTGGCATTAAGAAAATCATCCGAGTGAGGACGAAGACATGGTTGGAAATAAACATCAAGTCAGTCACGACAGAGAAAGAGGAGGAATGTGGGGCCAGTTCAGCCTCATTCACAAGACCTCTGATGTCACTGTTTGCTATCGCACTACAAGTATGCTGTAGAGACAATCCAGCTGTGTTGTTGTTTGCATGAAGTGTCTACAATGCTGCCAACACTGGTCAATGCCAATCAAGGCACTGACCTATTGTATTAGTCTAGATTTTACTGGGGAGTTTTTGCTTCTTGTGATAGTCAAAATGATGAGTCAGGCTTTTTCTTGAAAAGTCTGAAACAGCATTTTCTAAAAGAAATAATTATATGGTATGATGGGGGAAAAAAAGTATTCAGATGATGTAGTGACAAAAAATACCATCCATTAATAGCTCCCAAACAAAACTGTCTGCATCAGCTTTAAAAAAAAAACCTGGAGTCCTACAAGACTGCCAAACAATTCCTGAATCTGTGTCCCTGAAAATGTTGCGACTCCTGGAATCAGTATTTACTTCACAAGTTAATTATGAAAGGCTGGCTGCATGTCATTCCAGATGTGTTAATGGTTGTTTAACCATCCTACAAACTTATACTGGAGATACATAAGATGAGTTTTTCAGACTGAAATGTTGGAGACATCACAATCAACAGCTATTTTCACTAATCTTGTCTTTTTTCAGTTGCTTAAGAGGTTATGAGAAAGTACTAGCACTATGCATTTCACAGTACTTATCAACTTCAAATCTGAGATCTCACTCAAATTGACAATATCCTTCAGGGCTTTTGACCATCTGCCAGTTTAGAGTGCACTGTTACACAAAACTGTAAAAACAGCAACTTGTCTTATTATTCCTAATCTTATTATACATAAATAAAAATTACAAGTTGTTAGGCCTTACAAACTCTAATTATTAGGAATTCAAGTAAAAAAATGTATATTGTGCCAACTTTTCAAGCTTGTCTCTTGTTTCAACAAAGTGTTTTTTAGTTGATGAATGCAGGAAAATCTATTTTCTTTCCTGTTTACTTTATCCCTTGCACTGAAAATCTCACAGTAAGTATTAAATTAACTGTTAGCCTTTTATTATTAACTCAATGTAATTGGATACATTTTAAGTTTAAATTTCAGAGGTCAAATCAATTGTTCAGTTGATTGAATATATGCCCCAGAGGATAAAGTTATAAATCAAACAAGTCACAGTGGCTCTTGGCTCTCATTCGCTATTTAGACCAGGTGTAATCTGAGATTTAATGTTTACTTTGAACCCCACCACAAGACACACTATGATTAATTCAAGCATGTTCAATCCCACTCGGCAGGTCTTCAAGAGACCCAAAGCAGATCAGTGGTTTAATCCTTACAAACCTCATAATACAAGACAATAAGAGAATAATCAATAGTTAATCCAGACACATATAACACCTTTATCTTGCCATAATAAAATAGAGCTTCACTATATATTTGATTTTCATTCACAAACATTTCCAATTTCCATTTACCGACAATCTCTAATGAACAGAGATTATCATATAATTAATTGAGTAAGGAATTGTTTGTTATTGAGTAATCCCCTCTGAGTTTTTAGAAAAGGCCAGGTTGAAACTCTTGTCAAGGGAATGACAAAGCAATGTATGTTAACAATAACAATAACAATAACAATATATATATATACATATATATATTATATTATATTTCTATTCCACAAGTGATTGCCTTATGCCAAATTTGTCAAAGCTAATGTCTCATTACCATGAATTCTGTCAAAATCAAACAGGCTTTGTTTATAAATAATATTGCCTGTGGGATGCAATGTATAGACCTCAGATGAAAGCCAACAAGCACTGACTGAGTAATCAATTACTCTTTCACAGCACTTATCGAATAAATGACAAATCTGGAGTGGAGCACAGCCCTAATGCATCTCTGTGCCACAAAATCCTGTATTTATTCAGTAAAGAAGAAAATGGAGAAAAGAACAGCAAGTTTGAGTAGTTTTAGATTGTTTTAATCTAAGTCTGAAGCTGGATGATGAATTATATTTGTCACTTTTCCGTGATACCAAAAAAATATATTATTTGTTATTTGTATTATTAATGACATGGAAAATGTGACTGCTTTTCCACCACTATTTTCAACACTCTCAACCTGTCTCCAAACAAAAGAGCTGATAAGAGCTGAAAACGTTGCACCCATCTGCAAAATGGAGCATCAGTAAACACAAGAGTCACTGCTCAGGACAGACAAAATACATGCCTATCATCCAGCACTCTCATAGTATACTGTATGTAAACATTTTTCACTGACAGTGACTAACTTGCTTCCAAGTTTACATTTCTATACTACTTTGACTTTTCTGTATTTTGACAGAGGCCACATAGTCAATAGTACCCAAAGTAGGGTCCAGGTACCACAGGGATCCCAACAAAGTAAACATACAAAGTTAATTTAGTAGATTAGACATAGAGGGAGTAACATTTGATAATAATAGCATTATTCCACATATTAACTGATACATGCCTTATGTAATGGAGGGGGGAAAAACTATTACTAGTGTGTACACTGTAATTATAAAAACTGGGCGTTATGCTGACAGTTAGGATTACACCAACGTTAACTGAAGAAACCATGAGCCAGCTTGGGTGTGTCGTGTTGGAAGGAAAACTTTTCAGCACAAACCAGTTGAGGTAATTGTCAACAAGTACACACTACAACAGTTAATTTGAACAGCTAATCAAGTGTAACACTATCTTAACTAAACCCTCGGAAAACACCAAAGTTACAACTTTTAATCACAACAGGTAACTCAACTCGAGTTTACACGGACGTTGTAAGCTAACGACTGTGTAACGGCAGCTGACCATCACCACAAAGGTTCATAAACACGGACTTTGGTGGAATGACTACCGTTATTGCCAAACAACGCACCGCAACACTACAGCGTTAGTTAAATGAATACAAACACATTGAAACATATACAATTTATGAAACTGGCGGGGTGGCCACAAATGAATGCGAAAGTGTACATCAGTAAGGCTAGTTAAACGGTGACTAGTGGCTAACCTAACGATAACTTACAATGAACGTGACGTCTAATGTTGGCGTTATGTTGTACCAGTTTAGCATAGGCGTAAATGACAGCGAACTACACTAAAACACTAACATGAGCAGACATTTAAACCAGTCAGTTAAAACCAAGACGATAATAGTTTATTTGTATCGATTTTATCTTAAACGGTCACCCCTAGGGTTCACTGGTCGCTCGTCCTTCCTTAAAACAGGTGTGGTTTCTTTTATTATATATTTAACTCTCTAAAGACCTTGTGAACAAACACCCACTTATTCCATCCATTAAGACATTTCTGAAGCCTTACCAGAGTAGGAGTCGTATTTCTGCCCTCTGTTGATGCTATCTTGATGACTGCATTAATAGAGCATATCGAGGCATTGACTCCCCAAATGCAAACCGCTCCTGCAACAAAAAGCCCCACCTTCCGGATATGAAAAACTACAGATGACAGGATGTGACGACACCATCGGCGCTCATTCAGTCTCTCGCATATCAGACCGTGTATAAAACGATCTGTCAACACCTTTGACTTTCACCAAGACTATAAGCAGAACACAAGAGCCGTTAACTACTGACCAGCCCCACTCGATCTACACAACTTAATGTTGCTAAAATAAATAAATAAATACGATAAAACGAATTATTAAGTATTCCTAAAATTTCTGCCGACTATAGTTTGTATTTCTTTTACCTACGTTTCCAGGCAACCATTGTCCATTGCAACTTTGACAAATATTAAGGCAGATTTGCTGTGCACTGTGATCTTTTTTTTTTCTTAGCAATTAATCAACTAATTATTTTCTTGATCAATTAAAAAGTTCATTTTTAAAATGTCAGTAAGTTCAGTTCCCAGGTTTCCTGAGGAGATGTTTGATGTCTTGTTTTGTTCCACCAAAAGTCCAAAGCACAAAGCTTTCTAAATTTTCTATCATAGATAAATGATGGATATTCTTTGCTTTTCTTGTTTTATCATAGAAGACTAAGAAAACCAGATTATATTCGCATTAGAAAAGCAGGAACCAGAAAATACTGACAACAAAATTACTTAAACTGTTGAATTGTAGCAGATGAGTTTCCTCTCACTGATCTAATCAATTAATCAACAAATTGTTGCAGCCCTTAACATCAAAACTGAGGCATGTTCCATGAGTGTGCGCAGAGATTTTAATATTGCAAAGAAATAAATGGAAATCAGTTGATGCCTAGAATGGTATATGGCTACATCCAAATTCCCCAAACTCATAGCTCAGATTTTACAAAATGGTTAGTTGTGAGGTCAGATACAAGTAATCTGCAGTAACCTGGATTAATGTTAAACCACTGATATGGCCTTTTAATAATAAAAAAAGATAAACCTATAAACTTCCCACTTTGGCTAAACATTAACACTAGTAAACCTGTAAGAGTCCTCTGGCTTCAAAAATACCAATAAAATTGTGTGCACTCTTCTGTCCTACTAAATTCTCAAAAGTAACATATGGTCCAGCTGCCTTTTGCAACTCAGCCAGTGAGCATGTATGAATGTCAGAAGACAACGGCATGTTATTCAACAATATTATCTGAATGGAGAGGTGGAAGACAGCTCCCGTAGAAATACAGGTCTGTTTACAACTCAGATATTATTTTGACAAAACTTCATATTTAACTGACTTTAATTTGACTTAAAATCACTGCTGTAGAGATGAGATCAACATCAACAGGCTCAGGGGTTAGTTAAAGAGAACTGAAAAGCCACACAAACTAATAGCCTACTTGGGCCTAGATTACTTATGAAAATTGATATGACAGTAAAGGCAATGCATTTCTTTATTGCAGTACTGTAGCAGTTCACTCTATGACCCTGAATGAGAATACGTGAGTATAGAAATTACAAGGATGGATGGTAATGGGACAACAGGGGACTTTTTTAGGTCATATTTGTAAAGTTGAGTAAAAATTGTTCACTCTCAAAAGATTTTGTAAACACAGGTATTTAAGAACATTGGCCTCAGTCATGAAAAATAGCATTATGGTCTGCAGTCCAGCATGCTTTTCTACATTTATCTTCTTTTCATCTTAATTGCAGCTGGGGAATGGTGCACATTTATACAGTATGTTTCGGGTCGCAGCCCTCTAGTGTATGGCATGGATGAAAGGCACTTTGTTCTCTGTTTATGCTCTAGAGGGTTTTCTCACATATATTCTTGGGCACAGACATAAAAAGAACCCATTCTTGATTAAACATGTAGTTAAAGAGGTGATGTTATATTTGCTCCCAGTGTGAAATACAAAAAAACACCCTGTATGCATGGAGGAGCACAATCTATGTTAGACTTCATTTTATGAAGAAATTTCAATTCTGTTCAAAACTGGAATTGTAAGCTAAAAATATGTTATATTCTATGTTAGCAAGATATGACATTGCATGTTCTGGACATAATCATAACATTGAACAAATTAAACGTACCAGTATGAGTGTGTCCCCCTTTGCCCAAGTCAAAAAAAAAACTTTCACCCAAGTCAAAAAAATATTGTATTAGATGCACTGTTTATATTCAGTGTCTGCCTCTGGCCTTAATGAGGCTTTTGACGGTAAACATTTCTATACATGCTTTCCCACTTTATTCATAGCCTAAGGATAACTTCATAATTTAAATCACTGAGCTATTGGAGACCAGGGTGATTAAGCAATGGCACTACAAGTGCTTGATTCACCAGGTTGGCCTCAATGGATCCACTTTGCTTTTCTTGTCTCTGCAGGTAATGGTATGAGGATTTAATACACCTCTGGGTATAAATGCTAAGAATCCCTTCATCCTTTGCCATACAAAAGCTAATGTTAATGTGCTCTGTTTCCCTGCTGCTATTAAGAAGGGGGGAAAATAAATTGAAGAACAGCATATTGGGAGAGCAGACCTTTTGTATTCTTACTTTTTTTAAGGTCATATCATGCCCACAAACCCTAACTGATGATTTGTAGAATCCTTTAAGAACCATCCATTCCAACAAATATACAGGTGGGTCCAAAATCTGAGACCACTTACCCATTCAAGTGAATGAGCAAGTGGTCTCACACTTTTGGGCCCCACAGTACGTACAATTTCAGCACTGAACCCGACTTTGTGGAACCATCTGTCTGCAATTATATCCTATTAAATATCTCTTGGCTGACAGAAGTCGAGAGTCTCACTACTCTAAGCTGAGGCAGTGCACAGTGCTGAAGACTCGCTGCCCCAGCCAGATGATGATGCTGGCACTGAAAGTGTATAGCTGAAAAAGACCAATCACAGTGAAGCCATTGCAGACCAATCTACTGGATATACCAATCCTATAAGTGGTTTTTATAACTAGTACAACTGATTATTTTTAGTCTCCAAGTTTGCAGTAATTACTGACAGCTACATTTCAACATTTAACATCTTACTGCTTACTGGCAACTAAATTTAGCATCCTATCAGTTCATAAGTGGCTAATGTTTGGTAAAATGTAGCCAAGGTTTGTGAATGTAAACATCTCATAACCACATACACATACTCATACTCTGTTAAAATATGTTGGCCACATTATGTACAGTCGGTACGTAATTAAAAGTAGCAAAATCAAAGACAGTAATTTTGCACTAAACCTTGTCTTTCATTTTCAGTTTTTAATTTACAAAGTATATTTTCAACAGGGCACATACCATTTTGTAGATTAATCTATACGCTGCTCCTTTCATTCCTACTAAGGAAAAGATGTCCATGAGGTTTGCTGACCTCCTCTGTGTCCATCACATTGTACCTCCCATCAAGTGTAAAAATTTGGATACTGATTGTGTTTGGCATAGCCACTCTGACTTCCAGCAGAGAAAAAAATTGGTCTGATTTCCTGTGTGCTCATGTATGCAGAATACAGACTTAAATGCTTTAGCTCTGCTCCATTCCTTCACTGCAGGGGAGTGCAAAAGTTGACCTTGACTAACTGGTTTAGATGAAACCTAAAAAGCACAGCAATCAGGTATCTGCAGGCTCATATGCACAAATGAAGCTGGCGGGCTGATATGAGACCATAACTCAACACAGTCAGGCTCAGTGAGTGGTAAAAAAAACAGTACACTGTTGTATTTGTGCAGATGGGAGGGCTGTGCTGCCTTTGGCAAAGGATGATAAGATGGTGGGCAGCAGAAATACAGGCTGCAAAAAAACTCAGCTCCCAATCTGGTGCACATCCTTCACTCCTTCACTCTATAGCAGTCATGGTTGCTACAGAGTGCCAGACACCTGCATGTTTCAATTTGGTGGCACTTTTGTCTACACGGCTCTTAGGTTTCAAAGGCCTAGAGCTGATGCCACACTGCCCACTAATACACTGCCAGTGCGTTCTCTGTTCACATCAGCACTCACAGTCTCTATGGGCACAAATTCAATTCTAGACAAGAAAACTGGCACCTCAGCGTTCTCGCATTGCCCCTGCCAAGGGCATTACAATTAGCAAGGTTGAGGGAGTCATGTAATATTGTATGGGAGCTATTAACAGTCCAGGAATAACCATTGAGAGCAATAATTATCATCACCACTAGGTGGTGCCAGATATACCACTAGAGCATTGACAAACTGCTCAGTTGATGTCAGGTCATCTCAAAAGCCCCAATCAGACATGGAATTTGGCTTTATGTACCTTCCTCTACTTAAACTTGGCCCACTTGCAGTATTTCATGGTTCATTATACTGATTTTATTTCTTTGTGCATTAGACATTGTATGCTATTATAGTGCTGCCTTAAAAGGGAAGAACAAGAGGAGCATTTAACATCTCTAATACATGTAGTTAACCTAGTGTACACTGTATCCAAGAGAGAGTGAATGTGTGAAAGGGGCTATTAGGTACCCTATGAAAAGCCAATATGGCCATCGCCAACAGCAGACGTTTTCTTTAAAGTTTCTCCTTTTAAAATGCTTAAATACCCTGCTATTCAAAACAGAACATCTTAACAAGAGTTGACTTGATCCCTCGGAAATTCCAATTCACAGTAACAGGGTCAAAAATATCGCTAAAAAGTTTTTATCACACAGCTGGTGCAAAATTCCCTATTCTGGTATCAAGACAATTGGAACTGTTAAATCTCATCACCTTAAACTTTACTTTCTGCTTTGAAAATAACACCAGCAAAAAGCTGCTTTGCTTACCTATAGTGATGCTGTTGTGATGCTGTGTATGGTCAGTGCTGCATCAGACCCACCTTTAAACCAACCATCAGCTCTCCCAACACATCTAGTTCCATTTATTATTCTTTTGAGAACAGAAGAATGAGTCACACTGTGTACTGAGCTCAGTGGCACACACTAATTTGTTTCTTTTGATGTGCTCATGGCCAAGTGTCACAAACCTACAGAGGCAAAAATATCATCAATGTCATCATGGCTATCACAGTTGGTGGTCTGAGGTGTCGCCTCATATGTAGTCCTGCTTCTTTGACCAGTCTCTGACAGTCCAGACATGGATAACTCACACCTCCTCCTTCGTCGTCTCTTAAGGTGTTTATTTTTTACACCAGTTTTGACTGTGGAAGACTTGAATCGACTCCTGAGTGACTGACATTGCGTTCTGAGGCGATTCTTTCTCCTCACTGCGGCAGAGGAACGGCAGGTTCTTGGTGCTGGCCCTTGAGGAGATGCAGCCCAGCAAGCTTCCTGTCTGAAGCTCTGCAACTTCCTCTGCATACTGAGGATGAGGACACATTTTATGAACATGCACATTCGTCACAGAATGGTAAGGTAAGTTGTTTGTCTGTGGTGTTGCTCTTACTTGTAACCTGTAGCCTCTAGACATGTCATCTTGTGGCACTTCAAACGCAGGAAGGTTAAAAGGCGTCTTTCCTTTTCCATCCTCTGGGATCTGCACCATAGGATCATTTCTTCTAGATGGGCTGCCATGTCTGCGAAAGTAGTGGCTTCTCTCACTTGTTTCTTGAATTTTTGTCTCTTGTCAGCCTTGTAAGTTCCCCGCAAGAAGTATTTGTCCTTGGGTGCCAATGTAATCATTAGAATCACAATTAGGTGACAGCACTTAATAACTAAATATTATGTAAATAATAAAGGAATAAATAAATAATGGTTTGGTCACATACCTCTGTTAAGTTCCTGACAACCTTGAGAAAAGGCTTGAAGTCAGTGTCATGATTTGTACCTGGGGAAAAAAAAACAAGTAATGTAACTACTGTTGAACAATTACAGGTCTATTCCAATGTGTATGTTAATAAAACTGGAATTAATTAATCGAACAAAGAGGAACATGTCCTTTAAGGCAGTATCCTCTTACCCCCGTGCTTTAAATGCTTCATACATAATACACAACAGTGAATAAAGCTCCACACCTCTTTCAACAGCAATGCCCAGGTCTTCTTTAACCTTCCCTGTCTGTCCCTGGCTCTTGACTTTAACTGAGGATTTCTTTTTCTTCTGCTGCTTTTCCTTGTCATCTTTGGTACTGGAATCATGCTTTGGTTGTTTGATCAGTAAAAATGCATCAGAGGGACACAGGAACTGAGCCATGTCTGCTGGCAGGGAGAAGTCTGTGAGAAAAGGCATGGGCTGGGCGTGGGCTACTTCTCTGAGGAACACCAGGAGCTGCTGGTACAGAGTGGACAGGCTGACCAGGATACCACGGAACATCACCCTGATGGGGCACAAGCATGGATTTAGACTGTAAACAACCATGAATCGTATTATTTCAAATGCAGATTTCTCTAAAGCTTAAGGCAAATTCAGAGCTGCCAACATACAGTATACAGCTCAAATACTGCAACTGCCTGTATCTTGCAGATGTGACAATGGGGAAAAACACTCACCACAGACGACTGAGCATGCTAGTAATCACCACATTCAAGATAAGAAACTCCTCCCATTTCATCTGCTGCTTTGAGAGTCTGAAACAAATATCTGTTAAGGGCAAACCCGTGAGGTGACATAAAGAGGGTCAAGAGCATTAAGCTCAATTCAAACAAAGAAATCCACATTTGCAAACACACATGAGATCTTCAGAGATTTCTAACACATAACTCATCAGGACTAATCATCCAGATGTTTCAAAACAGTGACACATCTGGAAAGGATACATGAAAGCTCTGCTGCAGCGATTCAATGTGCAGCTCATCAGCTGGGCGGCTCCCAGCACTTTGAGACACAGCCACTCCAGCATGGGTTGACTGGGAACATCACATTTACCAGCCTTGATGCTGAGTCCTCTGAAAAACACACACACATGCACAAACCCCCCATATTTACTGTGAGTGTTTTCTTTCACTGCATTAGCTACTTAGGCAACTTCCAAATATATACTGTAGAATTTGTTAATTTAACGCATTCTCTTGTACATTATTTTGATTTCTTTTGGATTGTACACACATTTGAGTCTAAGTATTGGTCAAATTCAACCAATTTGAGATGTCTTGAGCATATGTGAAAGTGCCTGAATTCATGGTTGTATTTAAATTGATCTGCGGCAACTATATGAAGCTGTTTGTTTTACCCCACTTCTTTATGTCTATGCCAACTTCCACATAGCACTAAACCCCAGCTTTGAAGCTGATGCAGGTCTGATCTGCATGTTAAAATCAGATGGAAAAATCACCACATCACACTGACTCAATACTACGTACCTTTGAATCCTGTTGGGACACAGATCAGTCAGCTCCTGGAGAGACACATCCAGCTTCATGTTCTTCAGCCTGTTTACACATTGTTCAACCTGTGGGAGAAAAGACAAAATGTGTAACATAGAGCTGAGAGGACATGGACACAATTAGTTGGTTAGGTCTACAACTCTCCTACCACCTAAGGGCTGTTCACCACACAGTGAGACCCAAACGACAAGCACGTCTCCTGTCAACAGATCATACTATATATCCTATAGCGGCCATGTGGAGATGTGGAGGCTCTCACCTGTTTTAAACCCTTGAACGTCTTGTTTCCTCTGAAGCTGTTATTTAGGATGTACAGCAGCTCGTAGAGAAGCCGTATATCTGTTTGAAGAATCTCACTGCGGATTAGTTTAAGGACCTTCTCTTTTTCCACCAACAGGGTTTTAATGTTAGCATCTGCAAAACAGCAACAACACGCACACATCAACATTTCACTATTCCATATACACACGAAGGTGAACATGTGGATATGAAGGGATATGAAGGTTTAGTGCCCCCCTCCTCTCCAACAAACTAAACCACACCACGTGGACCGCGAGATATCACGGAGCAAAGACATTTATCGTATCATCATCAGACCAATGCAACGTACCTGTTGTTGAGTTGAAATTCATACGGACGCTGGAAACAGCACCAGGAAAGGGTATGTTTACCCTGTTCCATGGTTGTCCTGCCATGCTGCTCTACAAACCCAAAAAACATGCGGAAGTGAGCGAGCCAATTGTATGCAATCACACAGACCGTCACAGTTCGTTAAAGGAACAGCGCACGGAGTGGTGTTAACTACTTGTCTCACAGTAGCGAGCTAACCACGGCTAGGGCTACTAGCAAATAGCAGATAGCTTGAGTTCACCCATGGTTCACCCCGAGATCAGTTGCCATGGTAACTAAAGCACCTATAAGCTGCAAGAAAACAAAAATGCAAATGACATCCTTACTAAATTAACGGAAAGCCGTTACTTTGAACGGGATCTGTTAAATGTTTACAGTTCAGTTCTGGTGATAGATGTTTTTTATTCTTTTAAATAAATATTAGCCTATTCTATAAATAAAATTATATTATGCACCAATGATTGGCTACCTGCAGTACCCCTGTGCACATCAACACTACAGCATTACCATTGAATGTTGTTATTTATCCATTACTAGATTTTCTTTTAAGGAAAATAAAAAGAAGAATACAACACAAATATTCATAATACATTACTTTCCCATTACAGGCTATTTGACATGTTAATTTGCCAACTGTTTGTTACATCTTATAAATCTGGTTACTGCACTATTTTCGGTTATTTCTACTGCTGTTTTGATATGCTACATCTGTGCTTATTTCTTGTAACTTTTACCTTACAGTAACTTGTTCTGTCAAGTCAAGTTTTATTATCTCACTGCTGCTGACTTGGTCCAGGATGATTAAATGGTAATTCAGTTTAGTTTTTAAATGTCAGTTTCTTGTGGAACAAACGACCAGCTACAGGGGCTGAATGCCAAATGTGTTAAAAAGGTACTTTGTTATACATTAAAAATGTGGTTTTAGTAGCTTTGTATAAGGTCTGCATTGTCTACAATTTCTGAAAAAAAGGCATCACAATTTGACCATCTCAAAAATGCACTAAAAATATGCTTTATTCAACAAATACAATTAAAAAAAAGAAAAAAAAATTAATTACTCTATGCTCCTTGTTTACTCAACCAGGTGATGACTTTTAAGTTCACTTCATCCAACACAGACTCTTCTGACCGTCCCTTCACGCTCAGCCCATGGCTGCCTCCTTTTAGCCAAAAAACCTCAGCTTGAGCTCTCATTTCTGTTACTATCCCATCAAAAAGGACCTAGGCAAAGAAAGAAAGAAAACATTGTGACACGCCATGAAAACAGAAAGTCATACATTGAACAAGCTGAGATAATCGATAAATTAGAAGTACATCTAAAATTGCATGGTTTTGCCAATGGTATACGAAATAGTCTAGAACTGGATTTTGCAGTACATAATGATACAGGCTATCAGCAATTTTAATAAAGGGAATTAAAATTTAAACATATAATAGTGGGAGCAAACTCCATAAACATATACAACTGACAATTACAGCATGACTAATGTCCAATGCATGACTGAGATGAGATGAGATGAGAACAAACAACTGCATACAACATATGCAAGATATGAAAATATAATTATGTAAATTCAGAGCATTTACAATATATTACAACATAGTATTTAGGAATATTAAGAAAAAAAGTTTTGTAATTACAAACACACACATGTAAATAAAAAACTTAAAATCTTGTAACAATTTAAATAATTTAAATGTATTAAACTGCAGTCAGCCCAGTATAAATTTCCGCCATACATCCTCACCCTTTCACACATGTTGTCCTCAGTGCCTGACACAAAGAGCACAGACATGTTTTCAGGCAGCCCCTTGAGATCTTCACTCCGCTGGCGATGGGTGTGTGTCTGTCCCGGGGGGTGCAGTGGGAAAGCAAGGCAGATGACACCCTGCACTGCATCTGCTGTTTCATCACTCAGCTGCCTAGCCAAAGCTGCAGCAGCACGACATCCCATTGACCTGCCTGTGGACACATGTTTTAGACAAGAATTAACAAGAGTTAGAGACAAGAATTCCCACTCACTGATTGTTAAAGTACTGTATTTGAAGTTGTATTCTATATTTTGAATGCATAATATAGATTTTTTTGAGGGTTAATTGAACCCCAAACAGAAAATTATATGGATATTTTGAAAATAATGGTTGAAAAATGAAACCAACAAGGAGGTGCCAAAATCTGCAGTTTCTCAAATGGCCACTTGAGGCTGGCTCCAAAAGTACATTAATCCGACTGTATATAAAGATGGATATAGCCTTTATGGCATTACCCATACGTTTCTGAAGCGTGCTTCTGAAGCTCAGAGTGGGTTGCTCCCCTGTCGCCATCTTGGCAGTGTGACTCTGCCTAACTCCCGGACAATGAGGCTTAGCGCTTACTTGCTTTTGGAGCCAGCCTCAAGTGGCCACTCGAGGAACTGATGATTTTGATACTTCAGCCCCGGAGGTTGCCACTTGATCAATCCCCATAGACTCCCATGTTAAAATGCCTAACATTACAGCAGAAATAAACATGTTTACAGCCTGGTACAAAAAACTGTTTCAGTGACGTCATGGGGACTACTTCCATCTGTATGGCACATGCACACCCATGTATCTATTTCATGTGATATACAGTAAGCCTATTGCTGCTCACCTCCAACGAATATGTGCTTGATGGTAAACTTCTGTTTCAAGTAGTCCTAGGAGGAAAAGGCAGTTTGTTAATACTGAATCATAATCTAAACATTAATTATCAATAAAAAAAAAGTTAGACTACGATTTCAGCTCACCCACACAGCATGGTAAGCCTTCACTCTATAACCCAAGTTTAAACCTTTGCATGTGAAACGGAGACAGAGGAAGCCACTTGAAGCCAAAGCATGTGCTAGAGAGACCAGTTGTTTGAAGTTCATGTCTCCACCAGCACCATGTGTGAGTATGACGGCTGTGTGAATGTCCTTCACGGAGGATGGGACACAAACAGCAGCCTCCAGCTGTTTTGTCCCGAACGGCACTTTCACTGTGACCTGCAAGTGGATGAGCAGCTACTGAGCTCGATTTAAACAGTCCTACAGCCCCATGAAAAACATTTTTAGCTTAGTCTTTAAAATGAGTTCGCATAGTATTAAAACAGCCGTTCCCCGCCGAAATTCAAATGCAAACAAAGTATAGCAACTGTAACGTAACAGCTTAGGTTAGTGTCATATCGAGCTAAACTCTATTTATCTACTTTACAGATGCTAATGTTAGATATTTACCTCGTCAAACCTGTCCATCACAAGATGTTTCTTCTCTGATACCAAACATTGCATGACTACAAATGAGCGACGTCTAGCGTTTGGGAGTGTCATTACAGCTTTGCCCAAACTACTCGTGCAAGCACAATTCAGCATGGTCAAGTGTCCGCTGCGGCTTAAATCTAGAGCTGATGCTTCAGTACCTCCTGTTATACATTTAGGTTTTGTATATGTGCATATATGCTTTCACTGTGGGTTTGAGAGTATGTGTATGAGCGTATAATATAATAGCAGAAAAAAAGCAATCACTTTCATCATACAAAAAGAAATATATTTATTTCAAAAATTACATAAAATGATATTCATTTCATACAATTAATCCACATTTGGACAAATTATTTGGCAACATATCAGGTATAAAGGATTGCTCTGTAACCAGGTGACAGGTGAATCAAAGTTCATCTTTAGCCTGAAAGACAAACATACTGATGTTAGAATCAAATGTAGTGGCACTAGAAAAAATATATAAAATGGATAAATTACCATAAGAGCAGTATATGTTTCTACAGCAGTTTAGTCTAAACTTACCCACTTATTAAAACTTGAATATTGACCTTACTTAACAAAATCAAATCTCACTGTCAACACAAATGAAAAAAAACAAAACAAAACAAAAAGAACCAAACAAACAGAAACAATGTAAAATAAAGAAAGGGTTTCAACTTTTTAAATAACAGTTTGCTTTAATAATTTTTAAAGTCACTACACAGACCCATGCTCCACCCAGACGGGTATTGTTACATAAGTTTCCTGGGCGGGATCGCTTACACTTTTATCATTCAGGATATTGTACATAATTTGGCGATGTCACTTAATTCCAACAGAGCCCTGGAAAACCTCGACTAGACGTCTAATCACGTAGAGAAAGTGACACACCTGTGTGGGTGTGCAGTGTCTGTTTATTTGTCACCAGGATTACACAAACAGTACTACATTTTAGGGCAAATCTGGATCATTTACTATTGTTATGATTATTTACTTTTTCTCTGAAGTTTGGATAATATGTTGTTTGATACTGGCCTTGGTGGGGGTCTACTCTATACCAGTGCCCTCCTAGTTATGACATTTTAGGTGCAGTGACAGCTTATATACACCAGAGGGAGACACACTGTGTGTGGTAGCAAAGCTTAAATGTTAATACCAGTATGGAAAGCAAAGGTGCGAATAATAAAATGAATAATGTCTGAATTCCATTTAGCTGCATCAGTTTCAGGATCCCTGTGTATGATGGCTCACTTGAACAGAACAGAGCCATAGCTGATGGCATTAGTAAAACCTGTGCTTGTCCTACTATTACAAGGTTTGAATGTCAGCTGTGAAAAAGCTCATTACATAACAGGCATTATCATACTTAACTTACTAGTAAACCTCTGTGTATCAGTCACTATCTAACTGTTTAGAAGTTCATATGAGATATGGAGCTTTATAAGGTCAGTGAGCACTGTACAGCTCTGGCTCTCATGTTCACAGGCTTCTGCTATTTTTAAGTAACCAATGAAAACAGGTTATACTGTATAAACATACTGTTCTGACAAAGGACAACATGCACAATAATTTTTCACAGAGCTGACTTTAATATACCAGAATAAATGCAGGTGCAATTTTGCTTGCGAGATTAAGTAATTAAAGGCGCAGTCCTATCAAAACTATGCAAATTCCAGATTCATGATTGCTTTCATTTCACCTTTAGAGTTCTGCCTCTTAATTAGGCAAGAAACTACAGGAACCTAAACAGGAAATTGTCCACAAAAAGGTGAATGTTTATCATGAAAACCTCATAGTAGATTTTTGGTTGATATACTCAACACGTGCCAATAAATAAAAAGATTAATAAATAAATAAAAATAACAAAAGAGCCATCTTTATGCTTGGTTGTGGGGCGTGCTAGTGTTTCAGCAAGTTGTGATATTTACACTGGCTGGTTAAAAATGTGGAGTACATATGAAAATTAAGTTGTTATATTCAACTGTTTTGATGGACGTTTTCCAGCCTGCTGGAATATTTACCCAGGCCAAGTTAAAAATGATATTTAGTGTTAGACAGGGCAGCAATTTATCTGAGTTGTATGTGAGTCTAGACTCTACAGGTCTTATCCTGGTTACTAGTTTAATACTATAAGGTGAGTGGAGGTGGAACAGTACCAAAGTCACTTTGATGAAAGGAAAACTTTTTGGTGTCCCTTACCCTAGTCCTGTGGCAGGAACATGGAAACAGGTCATCAGTGGGCTGCTCTACAAGCTCCATGCCCTCACGAACTGTAGGCTCTGTGACCTGGAGTTTGGCATACTCCTACAAGAAAGAAAAGAAAAGAACAATGAACTTACAAAGAGAAACATGACAGGCAGGGGTTGAACATCCTGAGAACAACTGTGCCATTAAAAACACACAATGCAATACAGTGCCAATGCAATATACTTTGAGCCCTGTATGATTGATGAGTGAGTTGGGTAATATTTTCTTAAAGTACTGTTGATACCACTTTTTGTAGTTTTTCAATATATCAACTGATATAACTGGAACTGTAGAAACGTCACCTGGAAAAGTTTGTAGTAGTAACAAAATATGCTGTCTCCCATGAGATGATTGCGGGCAAACTGCTGACCTGCCAGTGCAATTTTCTTTACCTGAAAGATAGAAAGAATCATAGTAACTTTTTTTTTTTTTTTTTAAATTGCAGCAACACAGAGAAACTTTACTTCACGCTGACAAAATGTCTTAAAGAGGCCAATAAAGATCCACTGAACAGGATAACAAGATACCATGGCATTTACAGCCAAAGGTAATGCACAGTGTCAGAGTACAGAGTAATCATCATTATTACCTCTTCATCATGGTCACGAGCCCATCGGATCTTTTCCAGCAGGTCCCCCAAGTCTGCCTTTATAGGGATGTAGTGTTCCCATGGTCGAAGCTCATTGTAGAAATGCTCATAGTAGCCAGAATCCTGCTTTAAGACCACACTGTCTCCTGCCAACAGGTAAGGCAGTCGATACGCTGCCACAGTGCCATCAATGTTTATTTGGTACTTGTACTGGTGGTGGAATAGAAAAAAAAAAACAGATTTTCAAAATCAATTCTAGAAATTATACAAATTAAACATAAGGGAAAATCATTTGGACATTTAAGTGAAGGCCGATGTGTAGCTACATGGATATCCCACTGGAGATGTGTGTCACTGGCCCTTAAGCACTGGTTTAGTCCATCATCTCCAAGGAAAAATGTCTTTAACCTGTTCAACACTTTGCACTTAGACACTAGTTTATTTAAACCTTCTGCCTCTTTGTGCAGATTGGGTTCACTTAGCTTGTCTGAGCATGTTTGCTGGAAATACCTTTACCTAAACAATTAGTTAAAGGTTGGAAAGAGTTGAAGAGGTAAGTGTTAATTCCTCTTCTTCTATTTATTTTCATATTATTTATTTTAAGGTTATTATCAGAATATCCCTTAATAAAGCTTTTAAGACCCTGCATTGCGCAATATAACTTTTTTTTTCTCTAAGGCAATACATCACTAACCAGTTATAGTGGGGCACTTACCTTGAAAAAGTCAAAGAAAGAGACATGTTTGACCAGTGGCCCATAGAGGCTCTCATCATGCTTGAAGAAGAAGAAGTTGGTAAAAGCTGCATCTATCATGTTGGGGTGAGCCCTCGAAAGCTTGACCAGCTCCAGTCGCTCCTGACGACTGTCCCTCCCCCTCCAGAAGGCTGTGGCATTCTTCTGTGGCCATGCTGGCCCCGAGTTGGCCTGAACTGACATCATGTCCAGGCTTACTCTGTTTGTTGGATGGACACAATGCTGAATGTGAAATCTGGTGCAGTCTGGTTATTAATCACAGAATCGATTTTAAAGTTATGACCTTATATACAGATAGGCGACAAAGAAAAAACATAAATATAGCTGCAAGCAGCAATGTGGGGGCCAAGCAGCCCAGCAGGTCAGAGTTTGTACAGTTGAGAACATGATGTCATTACGTCAAGAACATGGCTTTAAGCACTCACAGCAAGTTTAATGTCAGTTGATTAAAGATTGGCTAAGATATGAATTGATTTTTTTGTTTGGCCATAAATATGTTTTGTCAGGAGTAGTGAAAAAATTGTTTTTGATAAAAATCCAAAATTGCACCCATATCAATTAGGTTGACCTGACAAGTTGCCAAGTCTCAACCTTGGGTCCTTCTATAATATTACAGGACACAAGAATTTAGATTTTAAGGAAAGCACATAAACAGTTATAAGGCATATATATTTTTATTTTTTCTTATTGCAATGCCCTCTAGAGGTCAAAGGGCACCAGATGTCTTGAACCTCACTCTGGTGGGGTCTCGATGTCCATGTGCCCAGTTTCGTAAGCACTGCTGAGATTTGACCTCACTTCCTGTTTGGTGGCTTTGCTGCAATTTGTGATTGGCTGTGACAAACGAATGCTTTTGAAAACCAAAACTCCATGTGATAGCTTTTGTGAAGCTCGGTCTGAAGATCATCTGTGCCAATTTTAATGAAGATTGGACAACGTTGTAGTGTAGGTGTAGTGTAAAACACTGTTACAAAATCCAATATGTCAGAAAATCTAATATGATGGAAATTCATGTCCTAGGCACTATGCATAGTGCACAGTTCATTGACCTTGGCTTGATCCAGGGAATCCAATGGATCCCATTCTGTTCAGAAGTTACATGCATAAATGCACCTCCACCTTTTGGTGGCGCTGGAGTGCTTGAGGCACAGACATGAAAAGTATCACAGGATTGTCCTCAGTGTGCCAAATTTCTAAACTTTTTACCATATGGTCGTAGGAACTGCTAAAGAATCCAGTGGCAGAAGAAGATTAAAGAAGATGAATGAAAAAAGGTAGAAACACAATGGCTGCAGCTGCTTGGCTCCTAATGAGTGAAGAGATTTGATTTAATGAACACCTATGGTAGACTCGTGTTCGACAGTGCTCTCCACCACCATCATCCAAACACAATATGAGCCAACATCTTTAG